GATTAATTGAATTTTTAGAGAGAGAGAAACATCGATTTGCTGTCCCATGTATCGTATGCACTCATTGGTTGATTTTTGTTTGTGCCCTGATTGGGGATTGCTTTGTTGGGATGATGTCCTAACCAACTGAGTGAGCTACTTGGCCAGGGCCCAGAGAGATGCTTTTAAAACATAAATCAAATTATGCCACTCCTCTTCTCAAAACCCTGCAATGACTCCCCACCACACTCAGAGTAAAAGTCAAAGTCCTTACAACAGCTCCCAAGGCCCTAAGTGATGACCACACATCCCCATCCCCAGGTACTGACCCACTTCCCCTGCCTGGAGTCATCTTCTCCGGTCCATAGGCTCATCCCTCTGTTCCTCCTACTGATTCTCAGCTCCTCCTTGCCTTGGACTCTCTGCTGGAAGGTTCATCCCAGTTACCTGCATGGCTCTCTCCCCTCTTCCACTGCTTCCCTCTCAAGTTAACGGGGGCCTTCCCTGACCACCCTAGTTACCATGGCCATCCCCACCCTCCATCACCCTGACCCTGTTCACTTTTCTCAATAGCATTTACCACCATTAACACACACACACACACACACACACACACACACACACAATCTGTCTATCATCCCTGTAGAAATAAACAAGGAACAACCATATGAAAAAAGCAAAGACTAGTTATTCATAGCTTACTATAGCCAGGGAGTCAGCCACTGTCACTTGCATTTTAGCAGAGGCTCAGAGGTGAGCAGAGGAATGGAAAAGCTTTATCGTGGAAAAAAAGGAAGGCTTCCGGTGTGCCTGGATTGGAGGCTGTTGGCATGGGGAAGCCTTAGGTGGGGTAAGTAGGAAGAGGGCACCCTGCGTGATTGGTTATGGGTGCATATTTAGCTTTCACTGGCCAATCCTAAGTTGGAAGCAGAGACAAAAATTAGGGAAGCTCTTAATTATATTAATTAAGTTCTGGCCACTTGGAGCTGCTTGTTACAGAAGTGATGCTCAGCTTCCTGGAATGGGGGTTGGTCTCCTGGACAGGTTGCTGCAGGCTGTAGGTCAGAGTTCTATTTCTAGATATGGTCTGGCCCTTGTCTATTTGTATATTCAATGTCTCATCTCTCATTAGGATGCAAACACTAAGAACATTGTTTTATTTACTGCTGGATCCCCAGAGCCTAGAACCATGCCTGGTACTAGTAGGCAGTTGGTACCTATTGTTGATTATCATGATGTTTGTCTGGATCTGGTTAGAAAAGCTGTGACTGCTACATGACCTGAGTAGAAAACCAACTACACCCATGCTTATTTCAATCTGATTCTACAAATGTCTGCTGGGTACTTGCTACATACCCAGGAGGCTCTGTATTGGGTTGTGGTTATTCACTCCAGTGTACACAGGACAAGTATTGGTGGAAAATGGGTTAAAGATCAGAATTTTGAATGCTTTAGCCTTTGCTCCAAGTTTCTCTTCTCTCCCACTTTGAACTCATCTCTACCTTTAAGATCCTTCTCTAAGGTCTCAGGTCTCCCATCGTATGTTCAGAGTCTGGCCCAGCACTCACTACCTGTGAAACTCATTTAGTTCTTTTGTCAATCAGCCTGTTCTCTTCTCAGTGGGATTATTCCCTCAGAAGAGGAGCCGCACCTTGCCCCAATACGGGTGACACATAGGAGGGTCTCAGTGATCTGAGTCTTCCCCCAAATTCTCTCACCTCTGTTTGACCTTTTCCCTGAGCTCCAGCTCAAATGTTTCACTGACCTCAGGATCCATCTTCCCTGCTTCCAAGCTGCCATCTGGAGGTGTATGAACAGGATGCTAGCCTGATAACCCAAGGCTGGGCCCCGCGTGGGCATCTCAACTATTTTCTGACAACGGCTACCCATTACGTTTGTAGAAATATGTAAATGGTTCTGAATTATCTGTTCTTTCAGAAAGGAGATTCCTGGTTTTGGTTAATTTACCTTTCAGATAGAACACTCAAAGAACCAAGAAATAAATAAGCCAGAATGGACCTGGAAATAGAACCTTTGAGTGAGCAGGCTGCACTCAGCCATAGCAGACAGAATGTAAGCTCCTCAAGGGCAGGGGCCTGGGCTGCTGCGTTTGCTTATGAGTCTACACCTGGTGCACAGGAGATGCTCCATAAATAGTTATTGAACGAATGGGAGGAATAAACACGCACATGAACTCTGAGATGAGAAACACCAACTTTGAATAGCAGTCATTTTCTATCATATCCACTCATTTTGTTGCTTTAATTTTCTCAGCCATCACAAAACACATTTCATAAAAAGGCAAACGATACAACTACAGATGTGAACGAGGGCTCTGAGGAGCGAGTGTGTCACTGCCCAGTTTCTGTTACTGAGCCACACGTGCTTTTAACACAGACAGAGATGTGGTCCCTGGTCTCCGCCTCCTATTGAGCACACGAAAAGCTCAAACTCGAGAATTCACCACATGGTTTTAAATCCCTCAACAATTAGGGATCCCTCTAATTGTGGTCTAATCCCTGAACGTCTTTGCCCCAATTTCATAATGACTCCAAATCAGACAGGTCAAAATTAGCTATAATAAATTCATTTGTGTCTAAGGCCTTGGGAAAGAAATGGAGGAAATATTTCACAAGATCTGCAATGATCCCTGGCTTCATTTCATTCAGATCACTTTTTAAAAAATTATATATATATTTTTTATTGATTTCAGAGAGAAGGGGAGAGGGAGAGAAAGACAGTAACATCAACGATGAGAGACAACCATTGCTCCCGCACGCCCCCCACTGGGGATCGAGTCCACAACCCAGGCATGTGCCTCTGACTGGAATCAAACCAGGGACCCTTCAGTCCACAGGCCTGATGCTCTATTCACTGAGCCCACCCAGCCAGGGCCAGATCACTTTTATTTTCCCCAAACCTGGTCAATGTTAGAAACCAATGGCCTCAACCCTGGACCTCAGACTTCTGATTTCCACTAATTAAGTACCCAAATGGGCAAAAGAAAAGGCAGGGTTTCTCTTGGCCAAAGCTCCGGGTGGTCCCCTGACCCCACGTCTGGAGTTCCTCAGGGTTCACATCTTGGGGCAGGGAAGACAGGAAGCTCTTCCTGCCCGTCACCAGGGAAGAAAGTGAGGTGTTCAAGCAGCCCCCAGCCTCCGGGAAGTCCCTCCCTCTCGGAGCTTAAATCTCTTCTCCTGGCCGAGAAGCACAATTCCCTCCAGCCCTGTCATCGCTGAAGAAAGGAGAACAGCTGCTTACCGCCCTCCTTCTAATCATCCTTAATGGGCTCATAAACAGTTATTAGGTCCCCCTTCAGCCTTCTCCGAGCCTCATTCTATTTGCATTGAGGCTGAGAGCTTCTGAGGAAGGCGTTTTACTCAGGGCTCCACAGACTTTCAGAGTCTTAAATGGGTAATCGGCCACTTCACCCACTTTAACCTCCACAAATGAACAGCTCTGCCTTCTTTTGCAAAATTTAAACCTATTCAAGGGAGTTTCCTGGCAACCAGCCCTTATTAATTAATCATTGCCTGTGCTAGGCCAGGTCAGGGCGTTTTTTGAAATGTTTCTTTTTCTTGAGAAGTCACACTGGCATGCAGGCACACAATAAACCAGCGGCGGCACCCTCTGAAGTTCTGCATTTGCAGGATGAATCTCGAGTGCCCCCTACCGGCCACTGTGGGGAGTCCTCAAAACTGGGCAGGGGCTGGTGCTCTGACAGACTCTCGCCTGGTCCTATCTTGTGGGTATTGGACGGATGCCTCTGCCACTGGGGAAACAGGACATGGAGGTAAAACAGATTGCTCAGTCTCCACGAGGCACATGCTGAAAAGTTCCATTTCCTACCCCATCGTGGTCTGGTTTATTTTCAGGTCACTGCTCACCCTAGCTGCAGGGTCAGCTAGAGCGTCCCACTGTGTCCCCAATCGACTCCTGGCTCCCTCAACCTGAGGAGGCAGGAGAGGAGCAGGGTAGGGAGGTTGCAAGGTTCATGTGGGTTTTTGTTTTTGTTTTTTTTTGGGGGGGGGTGGCTTTAAGAAAAAAAGTGACTTCATTTCACGAAAAATTTTAAACTGGATGGCTAAAATTAAAAGGACTGACAACACCAAGTGTTGACAAGGAAGGAGGGCAGCCAGAACTCTCAGTCATTGCTGGTGGAAGTATAGAGTGGAGCCACCAACTTTGGAATTCTCAGCAGATTCCAGCAATGGCTCGAGCATGTCCACGCCTAGGAACATACTCCCAAGAAACATGTTCGTGCTCACATGAGCAAGTTCACAGGACGAGTTTACAACAGTGAAACACTCACAGCAGCCTTCACAACAGTGAGGAGAACTGGACTGCTGACCTACAGTACGACACGGATGAATCTCACAGACATGCTATACTCAGCAAACGAAGCCAGACAGGAAAGGGCACATCTGTGTAATGCCATTCATTTGAAACTCAAATAAGCAAAACTAATCTATGATAATAAAGACCCTCCTTTATCATCATGACTCCGGGAGGAGTCTGTTATCGAGCTGAATACCTCAGGTCTGGGCACTTTATTTAATATAAGTTGTACCTCAATAAAAAATAAAAGTAGGTGTTTACTGTTTTCTTCTTCCCAGAAGAATAACCCACTACTTATTCACCCATTTCTTCTTCACTGCATGGCTTCTTTTGAAAAAGATTTAAGGCAGTGGTTCTCAACCTTCCTAATGCCGTGACCCTTTAATACAGTTCCTCATGTTGTGGTGACCCCCAATCATAGAATTATTTTCGTTGCTACTTCATAACTGTAATTTTGCTACTGTTATGAATCGTAATGTAAAAATCTGATATGCAGGATGTATTTTCATTGTTACAAATTGAACATAATTAAAGCATAGTGATTAATCACAAAAACAATATGTAATTATATATGTGTTTTCTGATGGTCTTAGGCAACCCCTGTGAAAGGGTCGTTGGACCCCCAAAGGGGTCGCGACCCACAAGTTGAGAACCGCTGATTTAAGGTGACTTACAAAGGTGGATGGTGTTGAACTGCATTTATAAATGAAGAATTCTGGGTAATGCTAAAAGGAAGGCAGGAAAATAAGGTGAAGTCAGAAGTGTGGCTAGTCCTCAGCTTTACTATCAGAAATTTCTGTGCTCTTCCTAGGGGCGGACTGAATGGAGCTGCCTAGCAATCAATGGGAAGACGAAACATAATAAGTCCATGTCCAAAAGTTAGCAGTCCAGCTGGTTAGAGGCACAGAGACCTGGGACCACTTTCTCCTGGGCCATCTCAGAAAAAGGCCACTAGGCCATCAAACCCTTTTGTGCTGTTTTAAACATCCCCTTTGGGACCCTGGGTCTCCGAGTCCCTTCAGGCCGTATTTTTTCTCCCGTGGCACCTCATAGGCTCTCAGAGAATTTAGGGGGAGGCAGCGTCCCTCAGAGCGCCGAGGGTCCTCTCTTGCTCTTCTGTGGGACCAGCAACCACACACGACTTACTTCCCTGGCGGAGGTTTGGGGGAAGCTCTGCTCTTGAGGGCGGGGTCTCTGTTCTTCGGGGTGCCCGGCTTGCCATCGTGGTTTCTGGAACCTGGGCCTGCATCCGCAGCCTGTGCTTGGCCACTCGGCCCATCTCCTTCCTCGTCGGTGCTCCTTGGTGGCCCCGTCCCTCCCGCGGAGACAGCGCTGCTTGCAGCAGCTCCCTGCCGGCTGGACTCTTTCCAACTTGACATTTGCATTAAGGAACCTTTCCACTTTCTGGCTCCAGTTTTTGAGTTGAATTCGTATTTTGCACCAGTCACTGGGGGTGGAAATACAATGACCATGTAAACAAACGACTCTCTCCTCCCCATCTCCACCCTGTCCAGCCCAGCCCCGGAGCAGAGGAAGAATGCCAGAAGGTGAGAATCTGAGCATCGCCGGGACGGAAAGCAGGCTTGTGAACAGTGCAATCAGTCCTCACCAGCTGCCCTTTCCGCGGCTGCTGCGCCGCTCGGACCACACTGGTAGCAAATACTATGCCTCCGGGGACAGGAAGGTTCCGGGGACTCTCAGGCCGTCTCGGTTGCAAGATGAGAAGGAGGCCACACAAACCTGGACTCCATGGGAGCTTCGGACAAATTAGGTTCACTTTCTAATGGGGTTACCCATCTCATTCTGGTTTGTTTTGAAAAGACCCCTGAATGCCTGCTATTACAAGGCATTCCCCAGGGGAGGAGGAGAAGACTTCGACTGGTATTTATGTTAGGGGAGCAGAGGTTTGTGGACACAGACACACCAACCTGGCCCCCGTGGAGATGAAGCAGGGGAGCCATTTTTATCGTGTCGGAGCCAGCAGACGCTAATGGACGTGTCTGCTCACATGTGTCCGGTTGGCTCACTTCTTCCTTCTTCCTGCTTCACACACACAAATGCAGAGCGAAGGCCCTGGCTCCCCCGGCCTCTCCCTCGGAGCTTCAGGCGAGCCCCTGCTCCTGCCATCTCCATGCAGCGCGAGTGGCCTCTCCGCTGAGGAGCCACCAGCACTTATGCTAATGTGGGCACATTATGGTAACAAGTACCTAATAATAGAGGGAAATTTAATTCCAGCAGCAGCGGCAGCAGCCTGTCCTGGAGAGGAGCCATCCTCCTTCCGAGGACGACCGGGCCCTTTGCATGTGAGCATGGCAGGGAGCCAACACACTTGCCTCCTGAATTTGGTTTCCTTCCCTGTATTCATGTCTATAATTGAGCCTTTGTAAGTGGAAGGATGTGTGTAAAGGAGCTAAATTTGGAGCTGATTTCATGGGGGTGAGGAGAGCTCTGGAGGCCAGCTTTACCTCTGTTTATCTTGCCAACCAAGAAGAAATTCTTGGCCCTGGTCTAGGAAAAAAAAAGAAGCCATCCTTCCCATTTCTCCGTATCTCTCACTACCAAATAGGATGGCGTTGGAAGCATCAGAAAGGATCAGGGATGGAGGCTCAATCCCAATGAGCAGGGGGGAAAAATTGTGGGTTCTTGGGTTCACCAGTTCCTTGACTTGGTTTGTGATTTAGAAAGGGAGGCTAGACTGTGGCAAGGTCCTTGAGTAGGAGCCTGGAGGTGGAAACCCTCTGAGGCCTCACACAGGATCACGTGTCTGCAAGCAGCTCAGCTCCGAGCTGGTCTCACTCAGTACTGCAGCCTAGAAGGGCCAGCGCTGTAGAGCTGACCAAACGGATCAAAACGGAGTTAAGGGCATGAAATTGGACCAGGCTCTACCAGCCTGGAATATGCAAGACACTCTAATGGGTGGGACGGCCACTTAGTTACCTGGGTCTGTGGCTTCACCGTCAAAGACCGTGCTCAGCCGGATTGTGTCCTAAGGAGAGAAGAGAGACAGCTTCCAGCACAACCTCACACAGTTTCAAGCACAATCCTCCTCCCAGGCAAGGCCACGCATCCTCACAGCCTCAGGTTCTTACCCAGGGCCTTCCGGGCGCTTATTTACTCGATGGGCACCGTGCTAGATGCTGGGGACACAGCAGTGAACAGGCAGGAGTGGTTACTGCCCGCACAGAGCTTGCGATCCAGGGGAAGCCACTGACATACAGGCGCTACCATACAGAGTGATAAGGGCTCTATGAGGCGGGGATAGAGGAAGCTATGGGGGTGCAGGTGGGAGTGGGAGGAGGACATTTAACCCAGACTCGGGGGGAGGAAAGCATCCTGAGTAAAAGGTATCTAAGCTGCATAGAAGAAAGAGCAGAAATGCCACAAACACCGGCTAAGATCTGCATTGCCTAAGCCCACTGTCGGGCAGACGTGGAAGGCAGGCACAGATGAGCACCCATGTGCTGCCACCCTGGGCTCTGGCTGTGTCCCTTAGGTCAGTGCAGCGTTGCATCAGGGCTTGGCCTGCCTTACCTCCGCCCTGTGCTCCATATCCTTTTCTCCCCCTGATCCGTACTCTGTGCCATCCTCTAGGACAGTGGTTCTCAACCTGTGGGTCGCGACCCCTTTGGCGGTGGAACGACCCTTTCACAGGGATCGCCTAAGACCATCCTGCATATCAGATCTTTATATTACGATTCATCACAGTAGCAACATTACAGTTATGAAGTAGCAACGAAAATAATTTTATGGTTGGGTCACAACATGAGGAACTGTATTTAAAGGGCCAGAAGGTTGAGAACCACTGCTCTAGGACCTGACCTCCGACCCCATTGAAACACCCTCTTCCCTCACATGATGTCCTCCAAGGTGCCATTCTTTGGCATGCTGATGAGGACTGCGTTCGGAGTTTAGTGGGCCCTCCAACCCCAGTATTTATCACTGAAGCCACCACCTACTCACTTGTCCACAGCTCCCCAGCACTGAAGAGAGAGGAAATGGAGACTGGATGGGTTTCATCGATTTGATCAGCTCAGCAGCCCGCTTTTTATGGTCATGGAGATTTATTTATTTAATTGATTAATTTAATATTACATAAGTCTGAGGCAGTCTCCGAATGAAGGGTACTTGCCTTAGACAATAAGACCTGGAAGCAAGAGATCACTTCTTCTTCTTGTTTGTATAAAGACCGACCCAGATAAATACTTCGCTGATGAGCCTGAAGCAAAAATTCCAGGGCACTGAATTGTCCTCCTGGCTGTGCTCATCATTCCCCAAAGTTATGGGTCTGGGATCATAACAAAGTCTTATCATTAGAGGTTGGGGGACGTGTGTGTTGGGGGGGTGTCTTCTTCAAGTGTCATCACTCAGTAAAAGAAAAACAAGGCTTCCAATACGGGGGAGTAACGCTCCGGCTATCACACTTGGCATTTGTGTGACTCTTAACATTTTCCAAAATATCTCCCCACCTGTTCTCTCAGGGCAGGCATCCTCACTCCCATTTCACAAATGAGGAATCTAAAGCTTAAGGAGGCTGAGGGAGCCCTGGCCAGTGTGGCTCAATTGGTTGGGCGTCGTCCCATGCACCAAAAGGTTCGATTCCTGATTAGGGCACATGCCAGGGTTGTGGCTCAATCCCCGTGGGGGGTGTACGGGAGGCAGCTGATCAATGTTCCACTCTCACATAAATGTTTCTCTCCCTCTCCCTTCTTTTCTCTCCAAAACAAAATCAATAAAAATATATATTTTTAAAAGGAGGCTGAGGGAGTCTGCAAGATCATATGTCTAAGTAGGCAGAGCCAATCCTAGACCCAAGAACGGCACTTTATCCATTTTTCCTCAAGGTTATGGAAGGGCAAAGGAAAGAAATCCTATTGAAGGCTAAAGCTTAAATTCTGGTCTTTAAGCTCCTCTCCCCCAACTCACTCTCCTGGAGAGCTGGTGTAGATAATAAACACCACTATTCAATATTTATGAAATCCAGTTCTTCTGCAAATATATCAGCAGACATGTTCAGTGGAGGGAACAAATTCTACCAGGAGCACGTCACACAGCAATCTGTTCCAGTGGCCAAATACAAGCATCTCCCTGAATGATAAACACCCCCCTGAGGCTGAGGCAGGGCCTGCCTGGGAGGGGGACGGGATCCCCCCACAACCCTCCACCCAAGCCAGGTGCCCCGGGGCCAGCCGAGCTTACCACCACAACTTCTCTTTTTGTTTTCTTCATTTCTGCAGGGAATAGAACAGACAGAAGTTAAGCTTTTTGGACACTAAATTGACCTTAAAATTCTACCTCCACATGGGATTTCTCTTAAACAGGCTTTGAAATCAGAATGGCAGACACGGCAAAAAAATTTTCTCTGTAGACATGTTTGCTGATGGCTTTCCATCTCCTCAGAAACACACACACACACACACACACACACACACACACACACATACACACACACAAAACACACAATACATAGAATTAAAAAACAAAACAAAAAACTTTTTTTGCTCTTTTTCCAGCTTATTATTATTATTGGACCTAGGAAATTAGTTTTTAAATGGAATTTAGTTTTAAATAAGTTATAGGTAAGAAAGAAAAAGAGAGTTGATATATTTGTTCATAATGTGGGGATTCCTTGTATCCATTCCCTGTGCTCTTTTAAAAAAGGAACTAGGGTGGGAAACCATTTGTGAAAATCTCATTTATGTAAATCATCCCATGTGATATGATTAATAACCATTATAATTAAATTTCTAATCCTGCTTAGATGTGCCATGTGCATGTCAAACACACATACCTATGATTGGAGTGATTAAAGCAATCATTTTTAAAAACACATTTTCCAATTTTTTGTCCTGTCTCCCCATGGCCTGGGTTCTCCTTGAAGCAACAACTTTTGGGACCAGGTGGTGACATCTCCTTAGCTTAGAGTTGGTCAGATCGACTTTGCTCAACTCACCAACGTCCCTGAAATCATTCCGTTCTCCCAGCCCATATGACTGCACCAGCCCCCCTTTTAACTAGCCTGACCTAAATAACTTGGGAAATAATAAAATCCATTACAATCTCAGAATAAAGTATCATTTGTGCTTTAAAAAGAGGCATCTGTCCAGTACAGAGCACTAGCTGTCCTCAGGAGGGGTCAGCAGAGAGTAGATACTGTCTGTATTTAACCCACAGAGAATTCTTCGATCCTGTCCCACCCAGTGGGGAACGGACCTCTAGGTGCTTAGGTTGAGCTGATTAGAAGTGACTCTGGGTAGGGAACAGGCGGGACCAAAATGAGTGACTCGAGTGGGCCAACGGCACCGTGTATCCTGACCTTACTTTTCTCCAGCTACGCCTGACCTCAGTTTCATTCCACCCGTGGATGATGAGGCTAAAAACCCACCAAGACAGATTACATCCTGATTCTATGCCAAGTTGGAACCCTTTCATGTACTACGACAGAAACAGCAAAAATGATGATGATGATGATGATGATGATGATGATGATAACAGCAACAAAGGGAATAGGCACCGTACATACCTCCTTTCTTCATCCTAGGGGGGAGAAAAGGGATGGATAAGAATTAACCTGAGAGCATTCTATACTCGTACACTCACAACATGTTGCCCTTTGGGCAACTGTGTTCCCTGGGATTCAGGAGTTGATTGAAAGGGGCCAGGGATGGGGACTAAATTGAAGGCTGGGCTCCCACCCCTGCTCCAAACAGAGCAGCTCCATCACTATTGGTTTGGGGTTAAGGAGGTTCTGAGAGTTTGATAAGTTTGAAAATTATTGCCTTATAGAACTTCAGGGAAAATATCTTCTCTGACTACTGGATGAGGCTTAACAACCCCAATCAGACTGACCGGCAATTCTTCCTGCCCCATTTTTCTCCCCAGTAGCTAACTGAGCAGAAGGCTTAGCTCACAGCGGGACGGTTCAAGGGCTGACAGCTAAACTTTGGTTTCTGGTAACATAAAAAGCTGGCCTTGGACTCTAAGACCCTTTCCCTGATAACCTTGGATTCTCTGATTTTATTCTATTTTGCTATTGAACAAATGTTGGCTGCCACGTGGTATAACTAATTTCCAGAGAGAGCAGGTCTGAGTCTGAATTACTAACGAGTTTTTTTTTTAAGTCAACCATGTTGAAAATGACTAATATTTAGAATGTAAGTTAAAGCAAACAGGTACAAGGTGCATACTGAACTTTTTTTTTTTAAATATATTTTATTGATTTTTCACAGAGAGGAAGGGAGAGAGATAGAGAGTTAGAAACATCGATCAGCTGCCTCCTGCACACCCCCCACTGGGGATGCGCCTGCAACCCAGTCACATGCCCTTGACCGGAATGGAACCCGGGACCCCCCAGTCCACAGGCCGACGCTCCATCCACTGAGCCAAACCGGTTTCGGCATACTGAACTTTAACCATAAATTGCTTGTGAGTTGCAGCAATTTGGATAACTGACTTGCTTTACGAACTTCTGCTCAAATCCCACTACCATCCTTACAAGTTTAAGCATCACTTTTTGGAGCCAATTTATTTTTTTCCCCAAATCAATTTGTGAGTAGAGTCCAAACAAAAATGCCTTTTTAATTTCAGCAGATGCTAAAGGATTTCTTACCTTGAAGTCAAGGTTGCCAATAGCAACTTCCCCAATAAATATGGCAAAAATGCAAAGCACATCTTTATGCTAATGCCTTATAGTTTTATTCTGAGTCTCTCATCCATATATTTTAGATTATTTGACAGTACTAGTTAGTCTTCAAAATACCTTTAAATGGCACATGAGTCTCATCACCCCTTCCTTTTGCCAGTGAGAAATTCTAAAACTCAAGTTCCAACACCATAAGATTCTTGGGCTTATTGCTAAATTGGGAATTTAGAATCCTGAGCTCAATGAGCCATGAAAAATAATACAACAAGCTTAAAAAAAAAAAAAACCAGTGTATCAAAGCATTTATATCAGGAGCAGTACTAAGTGCTATCTTTGCATTTGCTCATTTAATTGTTTAGTTTTCAAAAAAGGACACAGCTGCCACTTGCCCAAAGCCATGTACCTAGAAAATGGTAGAGCTAAGATTTGAACCCAGGCCTTATCTAACGCCAAAGCCCATTCTAATTGTAAGAGCTTCTGAAACTCAAGAAACTGTATCTGGGGGAAGCTTATAACAGTCTAGTGGTCTCTTCTCTTCACTCTCATACCTCACTTGGCCAGTAAAAGAGACCCTGCAGGATGTTGCAATTAGAGGCGTGTTAGCGGATAGTAGGAGGGAGAGGAAACAGGTCTGTATTTGCAGCCCTAGAGCATGAGAGATCAGGGCCATGTGTAAAAGAACAATGATTATTTTCCTTATCAGTTTTTGGTTTGATAAGGAAATCAGCTTAATTTCCTTATCAGTTTTTCTAATTCTATTCCATCCTTTAAATATTTTGCAAAGATGAGCACAGCATATCTAACACTGCTCACAGTTGGGCTTTTTTTCTGAAGCATGTATCCAGGGCAAGTCACCCAGGGGTTGAAACCCAATTTCTTTGAGAACACATCAAGGACAGGGCAGGTGCCCAGGAAAACCAAAGGAAGCGTCTCCTGACCCAGCAGGTGAGGAAGAGGGTACACCGTGACTAAGGGCAGCTAGGATTCTCTCCCCAAGTGTCCTTTTTCTTCCTTCACACCAGGCACCCTCTCTACCCTGTAAAGAAATTCTAATTCTCTATCTTTCCTTCGCCTGAAATCACTGGAAACAGTGTCCCAGAGGAAGTTGTGGGAAGGGCCCAGCCCACTGGCAACTTACAGAGGTTTCTTGTGCTTCCCAATCTTGCAGGGACAGTGCCTGTGGATGGCTTTGGCCAACTGGACGATCAGAGCCACCAGGAGAACCAGAAGCAGTATGGAGCCCAGCGTGATGACGAAAGGCACATACCACGCCGATGGAGAATACACGTTTTCCCTCCGGATCTGGTAGGTGATCCTGGGCTTGAAGGACAGAGAAGGGGGAGGGGGAGTGGAGGGTGGTGGCATTCCTGAAATCAGCACTCCCCCATGTTGAGTGTTTATTTCACTCTTTGTTCTTGTTCTATAAATGGGACATCTTTGTGTGCATAGTTCTTGTTGCTTCAACCCATCGCCCTATTTATAGTCTTTCCAGAAACCCATTAGATCAAAACACAGAAAATTTAGGGAACTGGAAAGCAGCTCTAAGCCTGATTTTATTCTCTGTCTTTCTTCCCCTTCCCAAAAGCTAAAAATGCCATTGGCTTTTTTCCCTGCCCCCAAATGGCATAGCTCAGGGACTAATAGCGCCGTTGTCTCTCGCTGGGAAGGCATGAGCCACGAAAGTTGTTTTTTGTGACACTTTGGTAGGTTTGTTGGTGTTCACTCACTACAAGCTGCCAGGTGAGTGGGCTGATATCACAGTGAAACCTCCAGCTCAGCGCTTGCTTCTTAGAGTGGGAGACAGACAAACAAGCCATGGGGATCTCAGGAGTGCGGATGCCACAACTGGGTCATGCTGTAAGCCCCAGGAAGGCGGCAATTCCTCACTCGGAGCTTACTGGCTCCGACTACAATGGAAAACCCTTAAGGTTACCTTACGCCTCCATTCACTGGGGTGATACTGACTCAAGCATCTGGCAAATGAACATTAACCCACTCTTGGTAAGACTCTGAGAGGCAAAGTTTGACCATGTGTCATAGATGATTTTCTAAGGTTTTGATTGCCATTCCTTTGGCAGACTACACGTATGGGCCTGCCGACCAAGCGCGTGGCTTTTACTGGGAACAGAAGGAAAGGGGACAAAAGAGTCAGCACAAATATAAGTCGGTTCCTCCACTGCGCGGGGGGAGAGGGTCCTGTTGTCAGAGTCCAGACTCTCCCTCCCTTCGTCACACTGGTTCTCTTTCAGCGCCTGCTTATTTTTCTTCCTACCATTTGTCACAATCTGTAGTTCCAGTGGGGCCTTGACTTACGAGTTTAATTCGTTCCATGACGGAGCTCATAACTCAAATTACTCGTATGTCAAATCAAAAAGTGAACGAGTGAGACACGTGATGCTGGGCTGATGTTGTGGCGTTCACTGTGACGTTCGCTGCGCCAACTAGCGGTGGGGTATCTGAAGCTGGCTTGTAACCTGAATTTTAGCTCGCAACTCAAAGCAAAAAATCGGCCGAGAGACGGCTCGTATCTCAAAAAACTCGTTATTCGGGACACTCGTAAGTCAAGGCCCCACTGTATTTTACTAAATTGCATACCTTTATTAAATTGCATGTATTTGTAATGTCTCCCCCTTTAAAACAGTGGCTCTCAAACTTTAGCGCCCATGAGAATCCCAGAGTTTAAAAACACAGATTGCTGGGCCCCAGCCCCAGAGTCTCTGATCTACTAGGTCTGGGGATTCCAGGTTCCAACGTGCTTTCCGTGAGGTTGTCGTGATGACCACGGTTGGGTGAGGTACAACTCTAATATTCTGGAATGGGCCTGGGAATGTGCATTTCTAGCACATGTCCCGGCGATGCAGATGCTGCTGGTCAGGGACCACACTGGAGAGCAACCGACCCAGATTATAAGTTCCATGACAGCAGAGATCAGGTTGGGCTTGTGCAGCAAAATGAATGGCATATCGTAGGTCAGTGATGGCGAACCTCTGACACGCGAACTCATTTTTTTGGTTGATTTTTCTTTGTTAAATGGCATTTAAATATATAAAATAAATATCAAAAATAGAAATCTTTGTTTTACTATGGTTGCAAATATCAAAAAATTTCTATATGTGACATGGCACCAGAGTTAAGTTAGGGTTTTTCAAAATGCTGACACGCCGAGCTCAAAAGGTTCACCATCACTGTCGTAGGTGTTAGATCAATACTTGTAGATTGAATGCATGAATTTTGATGGAGTGGAGATGGGGAGTAGGGTACAGATCGGTGCATGATAACTCTTCAAAAGAAGTGGAGAAGAGCACCTGGCAGCTACCTGCTCTCATACACAGACTTCATGGCCCTTAAGAGCAAGCAGAGAAGGGCTTGTGAAGGTAGCAACTAGCCACATGCCCATGAAAATTGTCTCCTGTGCCACAGCAGGCCGGCACCTGACCTAGCACAAGTATCTACACAAGTGTACACCCTTATTTAGCAGGAGAGGAAAAGTTAGTGGCTCTACAAGACTCAGGTTTCACCCAGATCTCTATTTACCCACAGTGACTACTCCAATTTAGCCCCTGGGTGCCATTTCTGGCAACATCCAAACACCTCAACTCTGTTCAGCCAACCCACATATTTCTCCTGGGTCCAAGGGCTCCATTGACATTAATCACAAGGGTCTAACTGAGGAGTGCAGGTCCCCAAATCCTTACCCTGGGGGTCGTGGTGACAATCGTGGTTGGGGGAGGAATGATGCTAATACTCAGTGTCACTGTCCCTGTTTCAACCAGGGCCTCAGCTTTCTTCCTGCCAGACAGCAAGTTGTCATCAGTTATATAGACAAGTAGCTTGTAGTCCCAGATCTTGTCAAGCCCACCAGGATAGTCAAAGCGAGTTGCAAGGAGCAGGTGTGTGATGTTGGACCCGGCGTTGGGAGAAAAGGTGAAATGTCTGTTGACATTGCCTAAATGAGATATGAGACAAGGATTTGGGGCAAAGGAAGAAAAGAGAGTGAGAAACAAATGTTTAGAGGAAAACTACATCCAGTCTCTTCCACAAACGTCCGTACCTCTGTGTAGACTAATTCCGATGAACCAGGGTTACAATATCGGCCTTGTCTGTACCAGAAAGTTCATTAGTATAAAGAAACTCTCGCTCACAACCCGTGTGGCTGCAACGGGGATGAGAGCAGAAAAGGACCACAGCACACCTGTCCCCGGAGAATGGCCGCTATCTTGCGGAGCATCAGGCAGAGATTTCCTAATCCTGGTGCAGCCTCTCTAGCCAATCCTTATCAGGCAGCATTTATTTGGTAACCACGTGGAACTTGCACTCAGACTAATATGTGGGCACAAGAGCATAGAGGGGGCCGCATCCCTCGCCATAGGCCAAGTTCACTTCATGCCTTTCGTGGAAGTTGGTGGGCCACACAGAACTGGTGACCTGTGTCCCTGGAGTTCCTCTGAAGGAAGGTGTCTCCTGGCTTTGCAGGGATTGCAGTCCCAGGCGCTCCTGAATCTACCCCATTCCCACCTCCCCCCTGCAGTCTGTTAGGGCTCAGGGCTCACAGCTTAGGGAACAGGGCAGGAAGGCTGCCCGCCCAAGCAGCCCTGGCTCATTCCTCCGGTGGCTCCAGACTCATTACCGACTGAAAACCAGTAAATGGAGCAGGAGATGATGCAATTTTTACTCCCTTAGCAGCGAAGTGCTCCATAAAGGCCTGAGGGTTCTCGGTATGTGTTATTTCCATCTTCGGCAACTGCGGTCTCGAGGCTGCCTCTGCCCCTGGGTTTTGTGACACAGCCTGCTCAAGAGGCTCCCTACTGTTCGGAGTTCATGCTCACCAGGGCTCAGCAGGCGGCCAAGATGGGTTTTTAGTCTTTCACTTGGAATTGTTCTGCTTGTTTGGGTTTAAATCTCTGACCCCAGCACTTCATTAGATGAGCTATTTTGGTCTCATTTCCATTGAGTGG